AATTCTCATGTGCGTAGTGCTAGTTTCTTTCCTCAGCAGCTATAGAAACTCAACTCGAAAGGACAAAGAATACTCCTAATACAAACAAAATTTCAGGAAAGAATGAAAACAGAAATAAAGTAGAAGACAAAAGCAAAAATTAGATATTTGCATACTTTATACATGTTTTAGTTTTTGCATAGTTCTTTTACAGCTTCAATTTGTATTGTGTTCCACCTATTTTTCCAACCCTCTACTTTCAAAATATGTATTAAGACGATCAATGTCCACTGTCTACCAATACCTGGGTAACACTTGAGCTGATGTAAATCCTCTCAGATCAGCTCTCTGCCTCCTGAGGAGAGCTGGCCCTGGGGGATCCATCACCTTTGGATCCACACAGCCAATCTGAGTGACACTCATCCAGCCTTCTTTGTCCAAGCTCAATAAGTGGAACACTGAAAATGCATGGGGAGGTGTCATCACTCACTTACCTGGTGGAGAATATATGAGGCTTATGCTGTAATTTGTTTTTGCCAGAGATTCTGATACATTGCATTTGGAGAAGGAAAGGATGGTGTCCCCATGCTCAGGTGAATGCTTGACAGTGGGTTCAACTTTCTTATTTGTTATCTGCCACACTAAGCAGATGAGATTGGAGGGAAACATGATTGAAGACTGTTTCAAGGAATCTAAAGTCAGTTCATATTTGTGTCCTAACAATATTTAGATGGATTAGTAAATCCATACTCTTTTGTGCATGGCAGTTACAGGAGTTCTTGTGTCATCTGTCAAAATGTTGTGAGAGGTAGACCATAGAATGAGGCTGCCTTCTAAAGAGTTCTGGAAATACATTATTTTTTATGTTATGAGCTAAGTGATTAATCATAATCTAAAACTTTTATTTTGTTATAGTTTTCTCATAAATAAAAAGAAACTGACAAGATGACTGACAAGTTATTCACAATACAAATACATCAGTTTTTATTAAGAAGAGACACCTAACCTTTATACATAAGTATTTCTTACGAAGATATGGGTCCACATTATCATTTAAAGGATGAATCATTACAAGACATTTCAGAAAGAGGAGTGAATATGGGACTAGCAGGTGCCTTTGTTGTCAGTTTTGCACTTCAAAATTGAGATAAGATATTTAATCCTTTTTGCATCACGGGAAAAGCAGAGGAGTGTGTTATAAACAGTAAACAGGTGAGTTTGTTCATCAGATGATTTCAAGGATTCCATGTGTGACCACAAAGCAAACTCCACTTTGCCTGGGACGTCAATATCAAGCTAGACATCAAAAATACAATCCCTGTTAGTAAAGTTAGTAATATTTGTGTATCCATTCTTAAAATTGTTAAGATTTGGAAATAAATGAAAATTTAAAACTTTAGTGAAAGCATACATTTTTACGTATCCTGACAAGAATATCATAAAGTTATCTGTCAGCTAAAAGCTAGAAGCAGAACACAGGACCAGATTTTCTGACATACAGGTGATCCTGGGGGATTTATGGTCCTAGAAGTGTAGACAAGGGAAGAAGCAGAAAGTTACTACTTGTGTATAGACGTAGATTTGAGCAAGGAAACATATTGTATAGAGGCTCACTTCCATTCGGGTGCTTAAGAAACTTTGACATTTCCTCCAGAGGTTCCATTTGTATTCCATTTCTACTGATAGCCAAGCTTTTATTTTTTTGTGGCTTTGAGCTGAATGTATTTGAAATAATGTGTCAGCAATGATAATGTACAGATTCTGAGTTCTGCATTTAGTTCATTTCGGTGCTGACAATGAAGTCAAGAGTAACACAGAATTTCACATGCATCACTTCACCCCAAAAAAGTATCTTCCAACTACATGGGAAAGGGGGCTGCCTCCTTTTGAGTTGCATGGAGTGGGAACAGTTTGGAGAAGCATGCATAAGAGGGAGGGTGCAGCAAGCCCATGGTGAGGGCTGTGCTGTGGGTGGGGGAAACTGGGCTTCAGGAAAGTGCTGCACACAGCAGAAAAGAGCTGTGGGCCCTGTGCCCTCCAAGGGCATCTGCAAGCTGGGAGACCTTCAGATCCCAGAGACCCAATCTCACTGCCTCTGAAGGCATCAGCTAATTTCCAGAGCGATGAGATACAAGACTGGGGTAATTGTAGACCCTAATCTGCCAAGCTTTCTCACAGATAGTAAATATGTTTTATTGAAATTTGAAGCATGTGACCTTATAGTATATCTGGGTTTCTCTTTTTTCTTTAAGGCTTGAACCTAAGGACAACATTTCATACAAAAATACTAATATATGCACCATGTTATGGAAGCTGGGAAAAATGTACAAAAACCAATGAATTTTAGAACAAATTAGTGAATTCAAGAAGTATGCTCACCATAATAAAGAAAATAACATGCAATTAGGTGTTTCTTTCTTATGTTCCTTAGAACGAAATGAATAAAGAAGGAACAAATAGAAAGAAAACTTCTGTACATAGGGAGGGGTGGACAGGTGTAAGGGAAGGAAGGGGAATATAAAAAAACAAGAACTAAGATATATCATCATCTAAGGATACAAAATCCAAATGATGAATATGTTCATAATGCAATTGTAAAATGTACCAACTAACATAAACTCTTTATTTTTATTTTTTGGAGTCAGGCTTTTTCGATGAAAGCTACCCAGTACGACTGGTAGTTAGGGAGGGAAAAGAAATATACAATTGCATCTATTATCATTTCTAAAATCATACGTCCAAATAATACATTTTATTTTGAGAACATTAGAAATGTACTTCTGTGCTGTCTCACTAAAATGGGAATTTTTTAAATGAATGGAGATACATAGTGAAAATATCAATTAAATCTAGGTATGACAAATGATTTCTGAAGTTAGATTATATGACATATTCATTTAGAAACAGCAAGGATACTGAAACTTATAATGAATTTCCATGAACTGTAAAATAAGGAACATCCCAGTATAGAACCAGCTCTTTCTTGTCAATGCTCCAACCTCTGGTGCTTGAGGGAGAGCACTGGTGATCTGGCTTCCTCAGCCTACTCTGGCTAGGGTGCAGGGAAGCCCTCCCTATATGATCCAGATGTTTTTCTCTTTCCCTTCCCACTCTCATCCTCTGATGTGAGAATAAAGAAATCCCTGTTGGTAGTTCCGAGATACTCTGAAGCAAACATTTCCAGTGAAAATGTTCTGCTAGGATTTTCCTTCCTGAAAAATGTTTAAGCATAGACCCCATAAAGGGACAGCCCTTGGGGACACTGCAAGGAAAAGAGACCTTGTTGGGACTGCAAAAAATTGTTTACATTAGAACCCATTGTGGTTGGCAAAGGCTATCAAAATTCTCGGCATTAAATTGGAACATTTAGGCTCAGTGTTGTCCACACAAGTGAAGACTTCCAACACGTTTCAGATCACAGGTACAATCTCAATGAGAAAAGTAAGGAAACAACAAAAGGCTGCTCACCGTGCTAGCTATTTGAACCATGAGTTCTTTCAGTTGTTCATATTTGAAAGAAATACCCCTACATTTGATTGAGAGAAAAGCACCCAATTTTGGCAGGTGATGTGCTTCCTGGGCCATGTGCTTCAGGGGTTCCTTCCAGGAGTTCAGCAAGAGGATTACGGCATTGAGAAGGTCTTTGGGCTATGCAGCCAGTATAGAAAAATCACAGTAAATTAAATTAAACACAGCTGGGTTAGTTGAATGAGATTTTTGCTAAGAGAGTTGGTGGTAACATATGACTTTGTTTTTTTTTTGTATTTAAATTTTTCTGTAGATGGTAGAAGTTTTAAGAAGAATACAATTAAACATTTGGCTTACACTCTGCTTCAGTAATGCTAACAAAATTTGATTATTAAAATAATTCCTTTTTTATTTAACTTAGGAGTATATCTTCAATGTGTAAATACCAAATAGTTTCCCTGGTGTGAATAATCTGCAACAATGCATAAGATTCTAATAAGATTACTGACATTTAGAAATTGGAAGAAAGGAGCTAAAGGTGTAGGGAAGGTGTGATGGGTAGGGGAAGAACAAAAAGGGAAAAGAAAAAAATGTGAGAGAACTAAAAGATGAAAATAAAGTGTTTGTAGATGGGGAGGGGAGGAGGGGGTGAAGGGAGGGCAGAGGTAAGGGGAAAAAATGAGAATCAAGCCTTGCCATGTAGAGGTACATGATCCCAACAATGAATGTAACTGTACTGTATCCCTAAAATGTACCAATAAACTCAATAAAATTAAAAAAAATAATTCCTTTTTTGTAATGAATACAATTCAATGCTGTTTTCCCTCTGAAATTTTCTCCATTTTTTTACAATAATGTTAAGGCCACTTTTCTGTGGGGGATTCAGAAGAGACAGGTTATAACCTTAAATATTAGGGCCTAGACAAATGATTAAGACTGAATGTGGAGAGTATGTTATTATCAGAACAGAGACCAGAATCGCATCTCTGAGAAAGGGGACACAGAATAGAGAAGGATATGCCCAGCATGAGGACTTTCTTTTGAGGCAAAGGAGGAGGTATCAGGTGAGTGCAGAGTGAGGAACTTGCCATCACAGAAGCAAAATCAAGAGAAGACTGAGGAGAGTGTTGGGAGTTCAGGAGAGAAGGTGCAGATAGGAAAGGGGTCACTAATGTAAACACCACAAATGCAAGAATCACAGTAACCTGTGATTAATAAGGATGAATCTGCACATCTTCCATGTGTACCTGACTATTCAATTCAGCTCCAATTCAACGACCATACTATATTCAACACTACTTACACAGCAAACAAACAAAAAGAAAGTAATATGATCTGCCCAGTCAGTTTTGTGTTCTGGTACAATCAACATTTACCCTTGCATTTTGAATATAGTTCACCTACTGTGAAGAGCACTGTTTCTTTGAAGGCTTGCTCTTCTCCCCTTTTCCCTGCAGGTGTGACTGCTGCTATAAAGAGCCTTGTAGCACCTGGAGCATGGCAGAGCCAGTTGCTGGCTCAGCTGTTCTGGTGGAGCAGGGCTAGAGACTAACCTGCATCCACCTGGCCATCTCCCTTTCAGATGAAGTGAGGATATCATCTGTATGGCACCTTTGTATAGCTGGCAAGAAGAAGTATAAGCCCAGAGAATACACACTTTCCTGAAAATGATGAAGAGATAAAATTTCATTACTATGGATTAGCAAGGTGAAAACACGAATCCATTAATAAAATGTGAATACATGTGGTGAATGTGCAATTTTTTAAAAAAGTGAGATCTGAATAAATATTGCAACTAAACAATTTAGAAAGTAACCACTGAGCCTGGTAGCTGTGTCATCTTACTAAGTTCAACTCATTTTCTGATGTCTCCACCTTTCTACTTCATTGCTGCACCTTTGTCCTCTCACCCTTGCTAGAGGTCACACTTTGAAATGCAAAACAAAAAGTTATAAAAACTGCAAATCTGTAAGTACTGTAGTTCTCACTTTCTCTAGTGTCTCAGTTCAACCCATCCTGCTTATGCATCTGTAGCTACCTACCTAACCTCTTTTTAATCTGGTCCAAAGTGATATTCGTTCTTTAAATAGAGATTAATAATTGTGTTTTTCAATTATTTTTTAGTCCATAAACCTGAATATTCCCAAGTTTTCATAAATTCTAACTTTTTTTTTAATGTGGCACAGAATAAAATGGAACAAAATACCAGGGGAAATTTTAAATAATACATAGAAATAATAATCGAAGAGAAATACAGTCAGTAGCATTAAGCCAAAGATGTGAAGGTTTAAAGGCATTGACAGGATGATTTGGAAGGCACCACATGGCCATTTGAAATGGGCAATGAATGAAACAAGCATGAATAAAAAGCACTGTTTGAACATATGCATGTAACACAAATGCTGGGCCACATTTTCTATGGAAGTCTTTGGTTGTTCTCAACCCTAATCTGCTGTCTGAAACAGGAGAGAGAAGAATATTCCAAGTACCTATGGAAGGAGTGAACTTCAGTGCTCTTCTAATGTAGTCTTTTTCTTCTAATTATACACTCCACACTGGAAATCTTTGAACAAATAACTCAAGCTTTTGGTGATTTCTAAAGGCTATTAATTTGGGACTTAATTCCTCTGAGAGGATTTCCATTTATTTAATTCTACTCAGTCCACCCAAAGCACTGCAAAGTGGTTCTCACTTCTCAGATATCTGCCTTGCACTCAGTGAAGGATGCCCATGGACAGTCCCCTCTGTGCAAGAGCGAGAAATAGTGCTCTTCTTCAGTCTTGCTTAAAAGCAATGTCAGATAATTAAAATCATAAAATTATGTGCAATAATATCAAATTTTTAAAAAAATCATTACTTCTTTTACAATCTATGATTTCATAAGACATACTCTTCCTCCTTTTTCTAAAATTAATGGCTGGTGATTTTTAAAGTCATATTAATACATATGATTAGATATTTTCCTGCTGAGTTACTCAATTTCATATTATAATGTAGATCAATCATGGGTGGAATTTCTCTATATGGAAAGACAGAAAAAGTGAGATACTTACAAATCTCAGGAGCTGTTCTAAAGCCTGGAAGTACATGGACGAAGATGCATAGGCTGCAATATCATTCAGGTCTTGGACAATCACCTGACAGCCAGCTCCCCTGACACAGGTGGGACGAGATGCCACAGTGTGGAACAGGACCTGGCCTGACACCAGCAGCAGGAGAAGGGGCCCTGCTTAAACAAAACCACAGTTAGGATGATCTATATGGTGAGTTCATCACAAGCCTGCCTGCCCAGGGAAGCCTTGTCTATGGCCTCTGCCTCCAAGACATGGATTAGTGCTCTACAGACTCAGATTATAAAAATACAATACCCTCATATACCTGCCCGTGGGTGAGTTGCATATACACAGTCTGAGAGGCAGATGACTCCTGCATTTTCGTTTCACTCCCACAACTACATCTGTGACATGGAAACACTAGGAAATTAAATTAAATCTGATTTAAGAATTTTTGTATTTTTTTCATTGAGTTTATTGGTACCTTTTAGGTATACAGTACAGTTACATTCATTGATAGGAAAATGGATGCACATTGAGCCCATAGCCTTAAGTGAAATAAAGAAGACACACATGCAAACGGCAAGAAGTTTCTCTGGTGTGAAAAACTAAAAGTGTAAACAAGATCCAGGGGGAGAATGACAATGTGAAAGAGGCACAAAATGGCTAAAGGTGATTTAAGATTTTTAAAGCAGTATTTTAAAATATTTTATTATCTTTGGGATGTCTGAAGCAGATCAACACTAAGATTCTAGAAGAGATCATTATTTTTAAAGTCATAAGCAGATATAAGCATCTTAAGCAGTTACATGAGAACATCACATTGAACTGTATATTTGCTCTTTAACATCACAGTGTATCTGAAGGTTTCATCTTTGTGCTTCGTAAGAAGAAACACAGGGCTGCTTCCTTGATGACACTGGGTATGAGGTGAGTCCTGCACAAAAGTGGTGCCATGGCTTGGATCTCCTAATTCACCTTAATGCCATGCAACTGCTTCCAACTTTGACAGTCATATTAGACATTCTTCCAGATTTGAGCTTTATTGTATTCCTTGCAGACCAACTGGGGCTGCATAACACTCATCATATGTCTCGAAACATAAGGTTTAGAACAGTTACATTATTTTTTCCTGAGTCCTATTCTTGGCAGGCAGAGGAGGCAGAACACCCATGCTATGGACCTTGCACTTCAATCACCTCCTGCCATCCTTCAGAGGACCATGGTAGTCATTATCCCCACAGCAGGCTGTGAAAAGTCAACCCCACAGCTGGCTTGTTTACCGAAGTGAATCTGGCCAAGCCTACGTGCTGAGGTCAGAGGAACTCCCACCCAAATTCTGTACCCACAACTAAAACCTTCAAGCTGAAGGACAATGTTCTAATTAGGATCATATATTTTTGTTGACTTTGTTCCTAATTTAAGAATGCTTTGTCTTCTCCTTTCTGAGCCTTTTTTACATAAATTTTTTATAGAAACCATACCTTGTCTTCATCCCAATTGATGGACAATAAAAGTCAGCTGCCCAGGTGTGGGCTGGGACCTGACTGCAGGAGAACCACTCTAACTATGGCCTGCTCATGTCTGGACTCTTAGTCTGCATCTCTGCAGCAAGGAAAACATCTGTGGTCATGGGGCTCAGTGTGTGCAGAGGTGATCATCATTCTTGAAAAGAGCAACACTGTGTTTGTAGTAGGAAAATGGGGCCCCTGAGGATAAAAAACATCTACTTTTTCTGTTCTGTAAAATATCACTTTCAAAATCTTTGCTGGCCTGGGGATTTAGTTCAGTGGTTCCGTGGCCTGCCTCGCAAATGCAAGGCCCTGAGTTCAATCTCTACTACAAAATAAGTAAATAAATATAAAGAAAGAAAAAAAGAAAGAAAGAAAGACACAAAGAAAGACACAAAGAAAGACACAAAGAAAGACGCAAAGACACAAAGAGACACAAAGAAAGAAGGAAGGAAAGAAGGAAGGAAGGAAGGAAGGAAGGAAGGAAGGAAGGAAGGAAGGAAGGAAGGAAGGAAGGAAAGATTCTCTAAGGCCAGGAATGCCGGGTATTTGGCTTAGTTGTTCCACTGCCTGTCTCACAAGTACAAGTTCCTAACTTCAATCCCTGGTACCAAAAACAGGGAAAAAAAAATCTCTGTGAATAATCAGAGATGGTTCCATCAATTTGCTCTTCCACTGGATGGAAAGATCCAAGCAATAAGAATGATAAAAGGTTTAGCAATGTTTCCCACTCACAAACTAAAAGAAATAGCGTGTAGCTTAATAATTAAAATCACATTTTAATCTTGATGGCACTACTCCTAAGGAGTTTCTTATATAAGATTGTATTAATAAGACTAAGTTCCACAGAAGCTTTGACAAATGCAGGAGCAGATCTCCAAGATAGAACTAGACAAATATTGAAGATATGTATGTAAAAATACCCAAATATAATAGTTATAATAATTGAAATTAAAAATTAATAATGTAACTTAATGCTTTAGCTGAAAAATTAAAATAATGTGACTTGATTTCTTTAATATAATTTTAATTTTCTAAAATAGTATTGAAACCAATTTTTACATTTTAGAATTCACAGTAATACAAATTTTTTGAGCTTTAATTGAGTTTATTGGTACATTTTAGGGATACAGTACAGTTACATTCATTGTTGGCATCTTGTACTTCTACATAACAGGTCTTGGTTCTCATTTTTCCCCTTTTCCCTACCCTCCCATCACCCCCCTCCTCCCCTCCCCATCTATAAACACTTTATTTACATCTTTTCATTATCTCACGTTTTTTTCTTTTCATTTATTACCCTTCCCCTACCCATCCCACTTTCCCTACACCTTTAGCCCCTTTCTTCCCATTTCACAATGTCACTAATCTTATACAGTAATACAATTTTAAGTGGATGTTTTATGTAAATATAGCAATGAAATAAGCTTGTAGATAAAAATTAGGGCAATAGTGCTAGGAATGTCCCTATTGGATGAATATTCTTTACCTCTGAGTACATCTAACTGAATGTTAATCACTGTTACCATTTTTACAGTCTAGGATGTGATAAAATTCACAAGTGATTTATTATTGCTTATAGCATACAAAATTTATGGTTGTCACTAAACTACTTTTCTTACAAAATGTCTCAGAAGCAAAAGCAATTATTTAACACTAGCCTGCTTTTCCTTTCTAAAAGACACTGACTTGAATGAAACTAAGAATGAAGCAGTAGGTGCATATTGGCCAATATTGGTGCATTATGACCACAGAATTGAAAGTTTCACTAAGGTGACTCAACTTGGCCAAATAAGATAACAGACCAGGGAACCAGAAAAGTTTAATTTTGACCTCCTGGAGATGAGACAAATTTCATTGTCTCTCCTTGCCCAGAGTAGCTCAAACTCAGCCTTGTGGCTCTCTGTGCTACCTAAGCTCTTGTTGAGACATCTATTCTGGGCATTTGACAGTACTTACCAGCACTTGTCCGATCTCAATGAAATACTAATAGCACCCAGCATGCACACCACAACCTCCATTAATGCACTGCAAAAGATCTTCAGCATTTCTCAAAAGTCTAAAGCTACAAAAATCCACCATATGATCATGACTTAAAAATTCTATAAAACCCTGTGAAATTCTTTTATACATGAATAATACTTCTTCCACAATTATAAATCTGAAATCTCTTGATATTAGCTCAATTTATTTACTAGTAACTAACATAAGAGTGTTATTGGATCCAACAACTCCCTGAGTTGCTCCACATACCTTTCCCCTTGGTCTCCATGGTGATGAAGAAGCCAGAAAGCTCAGTTCACCAGAGAAGGACTGGCTATGTCAAGTACAAGTCAGAGGTCAGTTTCCAAACAACTAAAACATGAATACATTTAATGAGACATTTCCTCTTTATCTCACCTTCTCGCTCCATCATCAGAATTACCACCATAATTTCATACAAAAAGACTTTTATTTCATACTCGTACTCATACTCAGGAAGTTATTCTGAGCAGAAATGAAGAATTTTTATGAATTATCCCAAAAGGAAATGAGAGAGATGATGAAAGTCAGCTCTGCAGACCAGTGCCTAGTAGAGATTCTTCAAAATTTAAGGCCTGTTGACATATTTTACTGTAAATTTAGTTTGGAGTTTTAAGTACATTTTACTGTATTTCTCTATGAAAACACTTTGTTGTTATCCATTATATATTCTGCTTCATAAATTATAAGTAAATTAATTTTTAAATATTTGCTCTAAACACCATGAGACATAAAATTAATATTAAGTGTAGAATATTAAAATCTCCAATACAGGATTTTGAATTTCTCTATTTTTCTTGTGCTTATGCATTCTGTCTTCTCATCTTTAAAATGAAATCTTTTCATAGTACCTTGTTTAGTTATATGTATTTGCAACTCTTTCTTAATTTATTCTTTAACATATTGGTAAAATTCTATTATTATCCCTAGTATACAGCATAAGAATGAGGCTTGGAGAATCTATGTGGAAATATATAGAAATAATTATTCTACAGTGAGGTTACTTGCCAAAGATTGGTACTTCAAAAGCAATAGTCATGTACATGCAAAGGGCAAAAAATAAATCCTTTGTGGCTTCTTTATGTGGATCCAAGGCTTAGATGTTCAATTATGGTTATGGAGCTCAGTGAGTCTGATTAAAGGGATACAGTATAGTGCGTTGTTCAGGGTCAGCACATACATGTTTACACATGTTCACAGATAACTAATAGACAAAGTACTAAAAAGTATTCTATCCAATAATTTCTACCCTTCTCAGGATATGACATAACCGGGAATGAACTTGTATTCAATTTGCCTTCTCTGATGCAATTCTTGCTGAGGAAAATTGACAAAATCTATCCCTTTGGACTCAACAGATCTTTACGCCTCTCAGAGATTCCCATGTGATGTGAATGGAATTAATTAGAATCCACTTGAGCCACTTCCACACCTTTTCACATTCCCAGGTGCACTCCCACCGAACCTGCATCATGGTGCAGAGGCCAGTGGCTCCAGACCCCTTGGCCACACCCCTGCATCACCAAGGGCCACACATCAGGACCCAGATCTGCAATCAAAGGAGGCTGGGCCATGAGGCCATTCTTAAGAGCTCAAAAACATAGCTCAGGACAACAGAGGGCCTCTCTTAGGCCTCATGA